TTGAATATTTTTGTACATTTTTATCAATTATTAAACCTTCTCTTCTAGCGTGTACTAGTATTTATTTCTACGTAAACTGCTCAGCTCTAAAAATACTTGTATGATCATTTAAAGATAAAGAAACTAAATCCCTGAAATTTTTCTTCCTCTTAGCCACATAGCTAAGTTACTTTCTTTTTTAATATAATCAGTACATTTGAAGCCCCTATATTTGTTTTTGATCTATGAATTTCTACAGAATACTGTAGAGAGGCAATGGTTTGAAGCTAGAATACTTTTCACTTGCTAACTTTTGAAAGTTAGTAGTGTAATGTATACTATATTCCTTCAGTGCAAGATTTTTTTTAATAGTAAAATTTAGCACATAGTCTTTGGTATTATCTTTGAGCGATCCTATTTCAATTTGGTATTTAAAAGGGTAAAAGTTCATTTTACTTTTTCTTCATAAGCCTAATAAATTTGAAAATTGGGACAGACCAGGGTGACTCTTTCCCATCCCTGCTCCCTGTTTCATTTAAATCTGTTCATTGTTGAAAACATCCAAAAAAGAGGGTGGGAGTTGTGTCTGAACTTTTCCCGCCCAAGTCATTTTTCTGTTGTCAAATACAACTTTGTAGAAAGTGAGGACCATTATTTTTAGAAAATGTGAAGTAATCAAGTTACTTGCTTGAGTCTCCCGTTGTATATCAGAACCAAAATGTGTAACTACTCAAACAGGGTAGTTATACCCTGACTTATTCACCTAGACTTATTTTTCAGAGATCCCACTGTAATGATAGTTAATATTGCCAATCATGTCTAACACTTGACAAGAAGTCAGTGGTAAAATATTTAAAATAAGCATATGATATTGGCAGAAATACTAGTGATGTTTCACCAGAGAATTTAGAATCTGTAAAATGTTTTAATTCTATGAACGAATTTTTTAGTACAACTTTAAAGTTTTGATTTTTCTATTTAAATAAAAAGCTATTGATGTGTTTTAGCATGTCCTCAATATAAATTTCTGTTCTTTTTTATACTGTCTTATCACAACCTCAAATCCCCCTACAGGACAATACAAATTCAAGTTTCCCTATAGTTCACCCATGAAAATTATTTAACCTAGAAACAAAACTAGTGAACAAATTACAACTCTAAATACAACATCCTTATTGTAAAAGATGTTATTCAAGTGACTATAATCCTTGTCTACTACCCTTTGATGATCCCATGAAATGAGACTTAGTTGCCAGAAAGATACTGTCCAGTCTGAAGGCACAGGTAATGGGAAGACTTTGTTAAATAAAGCAAGAGTTCTGTGAATGTTTTTAACCAATTAGATCAAAGATTTAGGTTTCAAAATCTTCAGTCTGGTAAAAGCTGAAATGTCTTGAAAGTAGAATTAAACAGATATGTTGAAACAGTTTGAACAAATGTGTTCAAACAGGAAAGCGTGTTTATTTTCAGATAAGGGGGAATGTGTGTTTCAGTTACATCTCAGACTTAGGTAAATGTTGAGGTCAACATTAACGAGTTATGAATTAACTTCACTAATACTTAATAGTCAAACTAGGTACTTGATATTTTTATTTTCTCCCAGTCTCTAATTCCTATGTGGGGAAATTGAATTTGTATGAAAAATTAATCAGGTATGAAGAATTCATTGTACTTTTCCTGAGCATATTTAAATAACTTACTGCTTTCAAATAAAAGAAGTACTACCTTTTTTTGAACATAGTGATAGCATTTTGTTACCCAAAGGTAGATCCAGAATATAGATTATTCATATGTTTTTCAACAATAAAAATACCTTTTATGCCTCTCAGTAAATCTGAAAATGATCAAAGTATCATAGCTCTCTTCACTTTTGCTAATTGGGCCTCATAATACTGTAAAATTAAAAGGACTGGAGTGAGGCAATCTTAATTCATAGTGGTAGAGTGAAGAGACTAAAAACTCCTGAAACATCTGTGTACGTTTTTCTGGAAAGAACATCTACAGCTTTCACAAAGTTACCAAAGGACTTTGTGACCTGTAAAAAGCATTAGCCTTACTTGCTTCTGGTTATCGTCCATTGTCTGTGGTCAACTGAGTGCTGACTGGGCAGCCACTTTTATTTTTGCATCCAGCAAGGGTTAGCACCTTTTACAGAAAGGTTTGTGTTTTTTTTTTTAAGCCTAGATGCTCTTTAGGAGGGAAAAAGGTTTCTAATCAAATAGTACCTAGGGTAGAATGATGAATGCTGTTTCTAAAGTTTATAGGATAGGATAGTTATGTATATTATGTAATTTAAATGTAAATTACAAAGTAAAAAACTAAACATTTCTAAAAGCAAAATGAGGCAAAGCACATGAATTCCTTATATCTTAAATCTGAGGCTTTTCCCTTGGGGATGTATCTCAGTACAAGGTAGAATTTTAATTCTTTTCCATCCTCTAGGTAAAACTGCACTGATTTCACATAAAGGAAATGTAACATAACTTCATGAATAATTTTCATGGAACTGTGTTCAACTAGGTTTATAACATTAGGCTTATATTCTCATTCTATGGTTCTGGTACTACCAATCTAATAATTCTTACCTTATTCTTACCTTTAAGTTTTCGATTGTTTTGACTTCAGCGGTGGTCTATTTCCTATTTGTTTTATTCACTGCTGTATTCTGTGGATTAGAACAGTGCCTGGCACATAGTAGGCATCTATTGAATGAATGTAACATATTAGTTGACAGATGTACTCAGCCAACATACATGGTACCCATCATCTGTATTCAAGGGCTTCAAAAAGCATCATTGCAATAAACCACACTAACCCACGACTAAAGCCCACATACATAACTGAAGTGCACTGAAGATACGTTTTAGTGACTTGTACCTTAGCCGTTACTTAAGAAAAGTTCAAAAGGCTATTAGAACATATAACTTCCATGTGGTTTTTGAGTAGGAAATGAAATCCCCTGTGATGATTTGAAACATACCTTCTTTGTAACTATTCATAAATTAATAGTATATAATAGTTCAAAAGTAGTGACTTATTTAAGGAATTAGCTAGGTCAGAGTTGGTTTTTAAAGGCCCTAAGGGATACAATAGCAAACCTCTTATTTAAATGATAAGCTGAGAACTAATCATTTCAGGCTATTTTTGACCAAAGGTGAATAATGGTGACATGACAGGCAGTCAGATGTTAGAGCTGACTACGGTGAGGTGGGAAGTGAGAAGATTCTGTTCCTGTTACCCACACACCCCCAGCCCTCCATTTTATTTCACTTGTCTACCTGACCTAAATTCCTTAATTGCAGTAGATTATGCTTTTTAAACTTGCTATATAAAAACTGCTTTTGTGACTGTAGGATCTAGTTCAAAGACATCTCATTGTTAGTGATTGATAATTGACTTAATTTAATGGTAATCGCCCTAGGTGTAAGGTTGATGTTTACATTTCAGTGCTACTGGCTAATCCCCCAAACCCAGTTTTCAGCCATAAACTATGAAACAGGGTGGCTGTCTAATCAGATCAGATTCAAACTAAGCCCTTTTTTTTTCCCTTTTCAAACCAAGCCATTTCTTGATGCTCCTTCACGCTGTTCCTTGAGGGTATCCAAATGTGCTAACTTACAGACATTGGGTTGTGTGGGGTTTTTTTGTTTTTAGTTTTGTTTTGTTTTGTTTGTCCTGCCTGCAAATATCTCCGGTAGGTGTTGGTCTCTTGCTTACCTCTACAACTAAACTGAAGACTTGTTCTGAAAGGTGAGTAATAGGGAAACAAGGTTTTTATGTTCTGTGTAATTACCAGGTTTTCTCTTCTGTTTATATATTGTTCTGATGTAAAGAACTTCAGTTATATAAAATTAGACCTTTTGTAAATAAATATAATTTATTAGAAAAGATGGCATCTTTTACTAAGTAAGTTTGTGTCAGCTTTTACCTTCAAGCACCCCTCACGCAGCAGTTCTGTGCTGAGATGCTAGATGCTCACGTTGTTCTCTCAGTGTAATACCTGCTTTCTTTGTACAAAGATCAAAAAATGTATATTAATACTTTATAATGCATTTGTTTTTGCTTCACATTTTTTCTTGGAAATAGGTGGGATGTTAGGTTTGAAAGACATGGAAAACTAATAGTAATCCTATATGAGCTGGGATGATAGTACATTCATTTTTGCAGATGTTCCTGATACAATTTAGGAAACAAGTGTATTAAGGTTAAGAAGTTTTATCAAATATTAAAATCTATAGGTATGTGAATTAATAAAGCTAATATTATAAAAGCATATCCTCCAGTGCAGAAGTAGGTAGTTCTACAGAATCCCAGCAGTCAGTGGTGGATGTCAGGCCCCACTCTGCAGAGCAACGTTGAGTCAGCAAGGTCACTGGGCTTCCGCTGCAGTGGATTTTTATGGATTAGGATTTAGGTTTTAGCTAGAGGTTTGGGAGTGGGGAACTAAGGGACTTAATTTTGGGTCACTGGTAAACACCTTAGGAAATGCATGGTACTGGTGCATTAGGTGCCCTTAAACCACACCATTATCTGCCTCATTGGAACTCGCTGCTAAAGATGTTTCTTTTACCATGAAGCACTTTGTCCTGGTACAAGCAGAACTGAACTCCCCGCCTCCTCTATAAAATAAAGCTTCAGCTACATTGTATTGGTACGGTAGAAAGAGCATTAAATTGGGGATCTAATGTAACAATAATTTCTTAATTAGATTTCCTTGCTTCCCTGAAAAGAACATACTAAAAACTATACTGAAGCTTGATGTCTTGGGAGTTACTACAGTGATAACTGGAAGGAATAAATAAGTATGATTTTGGGAGCTGTATCCACTGACAATCGATTTGGTTACTTTGTTCCATACAACAAGTATTCAAGAGTTTGTACAGGAAGGGATTTTACTTAAAATTTACCAAATACATTTAGATTCTGAGTTTAAGCACTAAGACATACCCGTTGCTAGAAGATATAGGTATACATAAAACTGGCAAAACCCCTCAAGTATAACACTGAAAGACTACAACATATTACAGTCTAGTAGTGTAAATAGTTTATTTGCTCATAATGCCATGAAAAGACCAGAAAAGTAACATGAACTGCTTTTATAAAACATTTCTAATATTGCTAAGAAGCAGGCCCATTAATAGACAAACAGAAAAGAACATGCCAACATTATTGTCTACTTGTAGATTAATAAATAGCAATTATTTTAATGTGCTCATCAGCATTGAGCTTTGGGAAATGGCTGCTTGTGGTAAAGAACCAACAGTGTGTATTGTGTATCTCATGGTTGAATTGATTTATCATCAAAGTGAATGTTGAATCAACAGACAACATCTTGGCATGTTCTTTCTTAAGTACACATTTATGAAAATTTGCTGGCGGGTAGCAGTTTAAAAGCAATCTTCCTGTAAATAGGTATGCTAAAGTGAAATGTGTAACTGATCCCGAAACTGTCCTTGTAGTTAAATATATATATTAAAAAAAAAAACTATAAGTTAAAATAACATTCAGATTGTATAGCATAGGCTGATGCATTTTTAAACAATATTTACAATATTACCCAGAGGCTTGGGAATTAAAGAGAAGTGTAAAAACCATAAAAAACTGCACCAATTTTATAGCAAAATATCTGTACATTTAAAAAGAGATCATATATAACTACACATTATCCAAGGAAAATTGGACCTTCACCAAGGAGTTCACATAAGCACAACATAAAATAAGAAATTCAGTGGTTAAATACTATACAATAAACTTTACAATTAATATATTGATGCAATGTACCCAGAAGGTAAGCCAGAAGCAGGATGTGTATTATGAAAAGTACAAATTAGCTTCAGTCCAGTTTTTGACTTTGGAATGGATCGAGTGCCCTGCCAGAGAGGAAGGAAAGTAACAGTGGCTTAGTTGGCCATTTAGTCCCATTACATATCATTTATGCTTAATCCCAGTGTGACTATTTCAGCAATTCTCCATAAAGTCATCTGGGAAATACAAGTTCTTAGCTTTGATCTAGGATGCCAAATATATCTTCTCCAATTTACAAAAGGAAGAAGGGGGCGGGGGGAAAACAACCGATTGTCAGAGGAGAGCAAGGCCACGTTACTAACACTACTCGGCTTGGCAGAAGTAATCTTGAATACTTGATACAACTAGTGAACTTCTCCCTGGCTAGCAAGGCACTGATTTCTGTTCTCAGGTTTGACCCATAATGGTCCTCAGAAATCCTAATACTGATTACTGAGATGTTAATTTTAGTACTAATTAATAAATACATTTGCATTATTTTTTTTAAAGCTGCCCCTAGCTGAAGAACACAGTACTGCAAATAAGTTTTATACAACATTTGTGTGCTGTGATATCCTTGCATTCATACCGGTGGATCTGGCACGGGGAGGGCGTGGTCCTCTAGCACAGAAGCAGTAGAATGTGAAAGGAGATGCTAAGTAACTTCTTCCCCTGTGCTACTGTATGTAATTGCATCCTGTCTGTACTTGGCTGGAGCTTGCTTATGGACAGAAGGAGTTTATCATGTGACTTTCTCCTTCTATGTTGCAAGACCTTAAAAATATGGCTGAAACACAAAATTAATTCCTTAAAAGACATCTCAGCAAAGGAAGCCCACAGCAGAGGCATCCATGTTATTTACAACTTATTAGGAAACCAGGGTGGGCCATCATGGGACAATCACAATGGCAGGTAATGCATGTAAAATGAAATTTACAATTTGATTAAAAAATTGAATAACATACCGGTGTAAAAAAGATACCTAATCAAATCAAATCCTATTGCTTAGATTAATCTGAGCAGGTACTTCCACTTTTAGGCACTTGTTAACAAAGGTTGAAAGGAGAGCCCGTCATTTAAAAATTCCTGTTCGCTAAATCTGAGCCCTTAGAATATTTTATGTATGTTCAAGGCTGCAGTTAAATGGTAGCACATAAAGTTCATGTGGACAGTTTCTTTCACGCACACCCTCTTTTCATTCAGTCAGGTCTCGGGTTCACAGGGTTATTTCGGCACCATTAACAGAACGCAAGTTCTGATCATCAAAGCGCCGCCTGACACTTCTCCTCACCGCATCGGCTCGTCTGTATGGCTGGTTTCTAAGATCTGTAAAGAGGAGAGCACCAATGAGAGAATTGCAACCTTTAATACCGTGTGTCTAAGCAAGACAAAGGCCAGCTGGCAGCCAATCAAAGCAGCTTGTGTAGAAGAGTCAGCTAATGGGCCCTTCAAACCCACTGAGTATTTGAGCCAAACACATGTACTTTGCCCTTTGGTATCTATAGTCAAAACATGACGTAATACTGGCAGGATTCTGAAACTTTTAAGAAAATATATAGGAGAGAAGATTGCTTCTGTCACTGGCCAGAGAGTCTAGTTGAAGTCTTATTTTGCAATGTTTCCTCAGAAATTGCTATGGCTTAGGTGTTTGGGTTTTGTTTTTGCTTTTTCTCTTTCTGGAAACCTAAATATAAACAGTAATACAATGAATTTTAAACTGCAACATTAATAAAATCGACTTCCCTGTCCTATCTTACCCAAAGTTTTAATCAAGGAAAGAACCTATGCTTAGTGTGCAGACAAGGATTCCATTATTTTTATTCTAAATATTAGCTGAAGTCAGTTTTTCATTTTGTGAATTATAAACATATTGTTCAATTAACTACTACATAAAAGTAGTCACTGAATCAAAATAATACTCTAGTCCCAAATGTTTTTTCCTTGCCATCCAATTATCTTTTGTTTTTCATTAAAGGGGAGAAGTTACATGAGCCCCTGCTTCCTCCGATTCGTACTGCAAATCACAGCAGGATGCCCCACTTCAAAAAAATGCCTTGTTGAATGAATGAGTCAACCACTGCATATCAGTTCAAGCAGGCACTGTTCTGGGGGGATCAAGTGGGGGTGAACAAGAGGAGTTTTATTTAAGTAACAAGCCCTCTTCCTGGGAAGCATGCTTTCTTGGTGAATAAGGCAGGTCTCCTTCTGATGGAGTCAGGGCATGGTGAAAAACTAGAGCAGGCTTCCTACGTCTTCCCTTGTTATGTTTAACTAGTATATATTTCCCTTTTGTTAACTTAGCATTTTTTATTTGTGAGGGGACATTCTGCCTTTACAAAGGGAAACAACAGAAATAAGCCAGACTCCATCTTTTTTTATCCCTTCACCTATTCAGCAGATTAAAAATGGAGATTGTGGGCCATACCTGGCCCAAAGAATGTTTCACCTTGAGTTACATTTTTAAATACAATTTCCTGATGTTTGAAGTCGTAATTAACATTAAAAAATCAGAGTTTCTGCCCTGGCCAGTTTGGCTCAGCGGTTAGAGCGTCGGCCTGCGGTCCGGAGAGACCTGGGTTCGGTTCCCGCTAAGGGCACGTACTTTGGTTGCAGTTTGTCCCCGGCCCTGGTTGGTCGTTCGGGTGGCAGCCACTCGATGTGTCCCTTCACGTCGATGTTTCTCTCTCTCTCCCTTCCTCTCTCTCCCTCCCACTCTATCTGTACAAAAAATGGAAAAATATCCTCGGGTGAGGATAAAAAAAAAATCAGAGTTTCTGACTTCTGTTTGAAAACTGCAGAATCTGGCAACACTGAGGCAAAACAAGCTGGAGCTGAGTGAGTGTGAGTGTGAGAATGGTGCGCTCAGGCCCATACAGTCCTCACCAGCTCCAAACCCTCTGCAATCTGTGACCTGCCCTACTCCTAAAGTCAAGCGAAGAATCATTTTTGCAGGCCCTACCCCTCTGGAGAGTGCTCCTGGCCCAGGGTGTTAGGAAGGTCAGAATTCCACTTCTGGCTAAGGATACACTGCACCTCTGATTCCCGAACCCTCTGAGCAATTAACTGTAAACATCCTAATCTTCTTCAAAGGGTATAGATCATGTTCCCTGGCCAGGACTGGCTCTTCATTTCTTCAGATAAAAATTGGGTTAACTGAGTAACTTGAAGGCTTAGAAAGGGGTAAGGGAAGGCCAGCCTAGCACCCAAAGCAATTACAGTCATCGGCAAAACCCTTGCCCAAGCCATCACACTTGAGAACGTGGAAGCAGGCCAGAGAGTCCAACAGAGAGGCTCAGCCTCACACCATTGAAAGTGAGGTACAAAGTTTTCTCCCTGGTCAGACTCTCACCAGTATTACCCTCAGCCATAGATTGAAACCATTGATCTGAATACAGAGAGAGGAGGAAGCTAAGTAAAAAGTGATGCTTGCCAGCTCTGTGTATCCTCCACCACCGGTGTGCTAGAAGAAATCCTTACCCTCGAGTGAACATTTGGAAATTTAGTGATATTATTCTTCTTTAAAGCTAAACAAAAAAAAAAGAAAAACACAAAATGATGGTTAAATAAAAATGGGATGAAAATGAAAAGCAATTCAACTTAGTGCTTAACATTCCCGGGCATGTTAGCCAAAGGAGGAAGAGGGTGGGAGGCCATCACTACGAGAAGGTTAGATCAAACAAGGGCGAAGATGATAGCATCTTCCCATCCAGTTCGCTGACCACCCAGATCCAAGCTGCTTTGAAGTCTGGCTCCAGAATGACAGCCCAGCAGCAACACTGACAGTAAACATTAGCCAAGGAGGTAACAGTTTCTAGCCTTGTTAATAAGCACTGGTGGGTAAGTACACTGCAGAGCAGGCAGCACACACCACGTCCTTTCACATCTTCAGAGACGGGAACGTACAGAGCACATGCACTTACAGAAGCGGCAACGCCACAGAATGAACACACAGCGGCTCCGTGTCAGTCTCAGCAAGGGAGTCAAACGGCAGCAATTTCCCGTTAGACTATGTGCTGCCCTTGTCTCTCTTCTAGTCAACTGGGCGCTGCAGAGGGGCTTGTTCCTTACCTAGGTCTCAGGACCTAGGCCCAGGCAGTCACTTCTTGGGAATAGTTGATCTTTTTGTTTAACTCTAAGTACAGTGGCATTTTCCGACGATAGGTATTTGCTATTGGTATTTCTGGTGCCACCATCCTGACCAAAGGAGCGGGCCCAGAAATGGTCTCACAGGAATGCCCTGGGTTGGACATGGAACATAACCGTAACGGTGAGGGCCCCAAAGCTTTGGCTTTGCTTCCTGCCTCGCGGTCTCACTGCAACATGGGGGAGTGAGTTGCTGGTTACTGAGCTTGGGCAGGGAACACAGGTGCGTACAAAGCTGTGGACAGCTTATACAGGTTTCTAGGTCAAAGGGGCTTCCTGTGCTACGCTCGCAGCAGGATCTCCGTGACACTGGGTGGTGGCTACAGACTGCGTAAGCCCCGTAAGCCCCAATTTACAGCTGGGCCCGGTTCACAGTTCCTGCTGGTACAGCGGCTCATCGTACTGTCAAAGCATGTGAAGAGTACAGAATGAAGGCTGGGTCAGATCTGTGAGCTGTCAGAGCACAGTAAGTGCTCAATAAATGTTAGCCATAACAGCTACTGTTATCAATGACCATTGCTTTTTGTTCAGAGATATTAGTCCAAAAAGCTTACAAGCCATCTAGTGGGTCCTGATTCTCCAAGAAGTGCTCTATTTACTCTTTCTCAACATTTCTGCAAGCGATTCTGTTCACTCACACACACCCGGACCACCACGGCTCCGGGGATTCCGAGACGTGCTGAGAGTGACAGTGAGCAGGAGTGGAGACTGACGCGAAGCCATGCGGCGTGAAGACCACACGAACACAACACGTGGAGATGGCGGGGCATGCTAGCACGGTGGGGGGCCCTGACACACACACAGAAGGTCAAAAGAGGTCAAAAAACCTGTAGCAACCTTTTCAGAGCATCAGGTGAGAAAGAGTAATAGTTTAGTAATGGTATTCCTCAGTGAGAACAGGTTCGCAGAAAAATCGAGAGCCACGCTTGGCGGTGCGAGCAGTGAAGGGCACAGTCTTCAGCACTGCATCGAGTGACAGCCAAACAGGACCAAGAGGAGAGAGTAAAAAGCCAACATCTGTCACGTTAGTACAAGGTTAGTGCTCTGTTAATCGCATCTGGCGAAGGGGGTGGGGGAGGGGAGCAGGCAAGGGGGAGGCAATATACACCCAAGTGAGCTCATAAAGTCTAAGAGTTACTCCATCTGAGGCTCGGTCACGGGATACAAAGTGGAAACTCTTTCAAGGAAAATAACGAATGCTTCATAGGCAGATAGACCTTGTCACCACCCATGGTGGATCAATGATTAGGTCAGGCGAATAAAAACAGTACGTTTTGCCCAGTTTACAGGCCAGGTGTCACTGGGGTGGAGAGCAGGCTGAGGAAAAGGAACTCGGAGTTCTCCACGTGCAAGGCTGGATGCTTCTCTGCCCACAAGTGGATTTTGTGGCACTGAGGGTAAGAGGCGCTTCCCCAAGGAGACCTGTTCCCAGTCCTGCTCAGAGCGAGATTCTCCCTCAGTGTGGGCGGCAGGGAGAGACGCTGGGCGGCGGGAGCTTCGCCTGCAGGGTTAACACGGAGGTACCAGTAGGCGCGTGTGTTCAGAACACACCTGGGCCGTGGACAGAGACCAGCACTTGCACCAGCCACTCAGAACTCACACCGCTGGACTCGGGGCAGGGAACTCTTCACTGATTTCCTTTATAGTGTTTTATTTCCTTGGGTCTGACCTGGTGAAACAAACTGCGGTTTTGGCAGTCTGGGATCCTTATTTACAATGCTGACTAAGCTATTAACAAGAAATGAGAAGTCAAAAGTGGCATTCATGGAGTCTAAGGGGTTTTAAAACCTAGGACAATCGGGGAAATGTGGACAATGTTTTATATCCAGGAATAGTTTAGGAGGTGTAGAATAATGGTATTGTGGGTATGGTTGCTTTATTAAAGCGTCCTGATCATTTGAAGACACATACTGAAATATTTCCACTCGGAACAGTATGCCTTGGAATTGCTTCAGGATAATCTCCGAGGCCGGGCATGGGGAACAGGTAGAAGCAGGCAGGTAGCAGGATGGGCCCCGAGTTGAAAATGGTTAGTGGGTGGTGGGTACACGAGGTCTCATCATACATTCTCCATACTTTTTCATATTTAAAATATTTCTCACAATAAGAAGTTTAAGCATCTGGGCAGCTGCGAAATCGTATTCATATGCGACCGACATGAAAGGAGCGTTACGTGCAGCCGCGGCCACAAGCCAGTGGGCCGAGTTCTGGTCCCGCTGGGAAGAGGGACGGCACAAACTCTGCAGACTGGCTCCAGCAGAGAGCACCAGGCTGCAACCTAATCAGGCAAGAACTGGCTGGATTAGGCGCCGCCGGAGCTGCCAGGCGCCCTGGGCCAGGTGCCCTCAGCCTCCGGAGTGGAGAGCCAGCTCCTGGTTCCCACCATCTTCAGTTACTCCGGAAGTCCAGAGGCTGTTTAAAGAGCGCGCTGGGGGACTCTATGGCCTGTGGTTAGTGCCACAGTGGCTGTTAATCAGGCAGGTGGGCAGCAGTGGCCGCGGGGAATAAAATGGAGCATGGTGACAGATGGAAGATGATGGAGAACCGTTAGCAGAAGGGTTCGTGGTGAAATCTGAAGGGTCCTGATGATATTGAGAAGTAAGACTTTTCACAGACATGTTGGGCTTCTTTGATAGACAGTGTACAGGCGACTATAAATACACTTCAAACCCACTAGCATAGGGTCTCTGCACCGTTCTGGATCTAATTAAAGTCAATGAAACAACCGTAAACCCTGGACAGACAGCAGCAAAATCTGCAAGTGGCCAGCGGGTGAGGCCAGTGGGATCTCCATGGGCCACGAGGAGGAAACAGCTTTTACCTGTGATAATATCTTCAATGGCACCATCTTTTCCTTCGTATACGTGTCTGTTATCTTTAACTTGACGCCTTCTTAATTCTGCAATTAATTCTTGCTGCTGCCTCTTGGATTTGTGAGAAGGAGACTGAGGAGAGAGAAGCGTGGCAGGGATTAGTGGGGCCAGCACCCACTGGAGGTTTGACAAAGTCCAAGATGTGTCTGAGCATTGTGTTACTCATAAGCAGCCTCCACCAAAAGCACAACCGGCCCCCAGCCCACATGTGCCCGAACCGACACTCAGAAAGCTTCTGGGAAGAAAACAAACTCTCACTGAAGAACACACACAAGTCTGGTGGGTAGCAATGGGCAAGGTGGATCCTATGGCCATATCCACTGACTTCTTACACTTCGGTGCAGAGGATCAAGATGAAGAATACTTTGACCTGCCAAACTTCACGATCTTGGCCTACGATGTTTCCCTCCACGGAATGCTCCCTCTCCCCAGCCACCCGGCCACCACCAATGGCACCCTCCCGCGGCCTTCCCTGCACACAGCAGGCCAGCCATCTGGTGGGACCTCTGGACTCTCACGTCAGCTGAGCTGTAAGTCCTGATCCCAGCTTAGAAACGCTACACAGACATGCCCTCAGCCTCGGCTCAGGTTCGCTGAGCAAAGTAATGAATGAGTAAATATCCATCTGTCAAGTTTCCGAGCCCTAAAAGGAAGTGGTGAGGACCCTGGGCGAGTCTGGCTTATTGCCCGACTCCTGCTCGCACCCGAGGAGCCTCACCTTCGGGTCCTGCTGCTCCAGCAGCGCCTCCTGCTCCAGGAGTTTCTCCATGAGGGCTTGTTCCTGCTTCTTCCTCAGCTCGTTCTCCTCTTCCGCTTGCTGGGGAAGGCAAAAGAAGCAAAAGATGCGTCAGTGGGAAGGGCCGCAGTCGAGACCCTGAAAGTCATTCTGGGAGGACCCCTGGTGACAGGACTCAGGGTACATGGAAGGAGCTCCGGGTCTGCACTTTGTCTAGGATGCTGATGTGGGGCTTCACGCTCTGTCTCTGTGGCATCTCTTCAAAATCCAGTAGCTGAACTTTACCCCACCCAGAGTCCTTCCCTGCGGGGAGCTCTGTTCAGTGACTTTCAAGGGATTTTGTTTTACTTCCAGAAGCTGTCCACCTACTTAGAGCTTCCCTGACTCCTTCTCAGAGTTTTGCCCACTGTTTGCCTCTTGTCTCCTTCAGGGGCATCGCCCAGTGACACTCAAGGGCTCTCTGCCGGCAGCTCGCTCCTTCCCCAGAGAGCAAGGTGATTAGTCGGATCAGTCTGGGACAAGAAATCGAACAGGCTCACCTCAGCTCCCCTCCTCCTGAAGTCAGCCCCCCAAAGAGACTTCTAACAGCTGGGAGCTGCTTAAGTTGTCTGACTCAGGGCTGGAGAATAAGCTCACAGGTGCACCCCAGCTACTCCGATCCAGCTTGATCAACAATCAAAAGTACAGTTTACTCTCTCGCTTGTGTCTTAAGTTTCACTTTGGATCAAATCCAAGAAGGGAAGGAGGGATGCCACCCTGAAACCCCACTATCCATGCAGAACGTCCCTGGGTCAGAGTCAGGCTGGCAGGTTGTCACGTGCCATCCAGGGCAAGGAATGCCTGACAGGTGCCTCGCGGAGCCAGCGGACAGCACCCCCGGGAGAAGTGACGTGGCAGAGGCACCCTGACCAGTGACACCACATCCTCAAGGGCCGCTTCTCCTTTTCCTCTGCTCTACACACGTCCCTGCTGAAGCATCAGGCTTTGAGACCAGCCAGAGCCACTTCCCAGCTTGTAGTATAAAATTTAAAAATAGCATATACTGCCCGGCCAGTGTGGCTCTGTGGTTGAGCGTTGACCGTGCACCAAGAGGTCGCCGGTTCGATTCCCGGTCAGGGCACATGCGCAGGTTGTGGGCTCGATCCCCGGTGGGGGGCATGCAGGAGGCAGCCAATCGATGTTCTCTCTCATTGATGTTTCTATCTCTCCATTCTTTTCTAACATCAATAAAAATAAATAAATAAAAATAGTATATTTTCTCTTTAGACCTCAGACTTATAACTTTTTATGTGAAAAAGGTGTGGTCCCAGTACCTAAGCGGAGCCACTTGGAGCCCTGGGCCGTGCACCAGCACTAAGTGCTGGAGGGTCCGAAGCACCGGTCAGCACTGGTGCCTGGTGACCGTCTCCTTGCTTGGGCCCTGTGTCCTGCACAAGGACTCTGAGCTGTGTTCTCGTGCGTCCTCGCTGCCAAGGACATTTCTCCTTTGGGAAGCAGCTGGGGATACAGGAAGCCTCACTGAGAGACGGCTCAGTGCTGTGATCTTCGCCTCCAGTAAAAGGCCCACGGTGGTTCTCCAGCACCGTCTGACTCCAGCTGTGCTGCAGAAGTGAGTGACCCACTACTTCCAACAGGATATCCTTAGAAATGCAGCCACTCCAAGGCGTCCCTCCTCCCCTTACAACCATACTTCCTCCTCCCCCACCAACACTCCTGAGGCTGCACGCAGACCGGCCTGGGGACACAGACTGCAGGGTCTCCCAAGTGCGCTGAAATCCCCTCAGGCCCCGTCACTCCTTCTCAAGGCACACGTTCTCCTAACACATGCGTCTTTGGGTCGCATGCTTTTTCAAGACCATGTCAAAGGGCAGGCCATTGTTGGTCCACACGAGGAAACAGAGCAGCCGGGCTTCCTAGCGCCATCCTTCAGCACACTGGAGGAACGTTGGTCAGGACGGCCCGCGCCTGGGCAGGACCAGCACAGGCAGGCACTCCCGACCCGGCCACAGTGCCATGCCACGGGCCAGGCGCAGTCCTGTACCGTTCAGCGGGGGAGGCCTGGATCGGCTAAGCCCTTTAACATGCCTGGGAGGGGGAACAGTCAGTGAGGAGCATGTCACTCGCCCCAGAGAGCAGCCAGGGGCTTCCAGGTGGAGCCCCAGGGCTGGTCACTCATACTGACTATCAGGTCTGCTGCCCCAGGAATCAGAGCGGCCTCCGCAGAGCCGCTGAGACTGGAGCCACGGTGGGAGGCCAGCCGAGGGAAAGCAATGGCAGGGCAGGCTTGGGAGGTCGCCGTGCTCCCGTTTACCTTGTAGGCTTTCACAAACCGGACAAAGACAGGAAAGAAGACAGAGGGGGGTGTCGTCTTGGGGTTTTCTCCAAAATACTTCACCACATCATCAAAGGCGTCCTGTGAAAAAGCAAAGTCCCCTTGAACTTCATTCGTCCCAGCATTTGAACTTGACGCTCCGGACGGAGCTGCAGAAGCAGCAGCAGTGCCAGCGGCCCACAGCCTCCGGGCCCTGGACGGCCAGCCGCACACCGAGCCCCCCCACGTCCGCTCCCTGAGCCCACCACGTCCCCCTCCTTTCCTTCCACGACGCAGGCAGGCCCTTCTGGCTGTTTTTAAAGTGTGTAGACTTGACCCCCAGTGCAGTGCACAATTTCAAGGTCAAAGGCCTACAGAAACCCGACACACAGAACACGGCTCTCCTGAGCTCAGGCCTGAGGCGTGTTGGCCGAACCGACTACAGGACTCACATGCAGAAAGCCGAGCAGTGGAAGGATGGGGGGGGGGGAGCCTCTAGAGAAGAAGGTAAACATCCGAAATTAGAGAGGACAATGAGCAGGACAGGGATCTTCCAGGTACAATATTCGAAAAGACCCCCCCCCCCAATAATAATTAACTACATAAGAATCCTACCCTCAGTAGACAGAGGGCAATTTTCCCCCAGAGCCAGGCCAGCACCCAGGTGGCTTTAAGGGACCAACCACTGTTTGGTGGTGCCGAGGGGCACGGGTCCCGGACACCGACCTGTGCGATCTTGGCGTCGTCCTGCAGCTTCTTCAGCCTCCCCTCGTTGTTGAGGATGAACTCCTTCAGCAGCGTGTTATGGTCGTGCATGGTGTACTCCCTCTTGGTCAAGTCCATGCCCCTCTGCAGCTCCTTGACATCCAGCAGGACATTCTCAAGGGAGACTGGAGCAGAGAAAGCAAGGTCCCCGTGAACCTCAACCGGGGAAGTCCAAACCACTGGGTCTGGCTGGTAAGCCGTTCTCGGTGGACTCCTAGGGTTACTCAAGGGCCCCGATCTCATTTCCAGCTTTCAACGCAGATGGCCTTTACCATGAATAGCTTCCCAGTGCTCACATCTCTCAGGCACTGCACTGCATTCTCTGCCTGCAATGATCCATTTGTACCCTGAGCCCGTTTCACCAACAAGGAAAAGCAGCAGAGAGGTTATGTGGCCTGCTCTCGGAGGTGGCAGAGATGGAGTTCAGATAACAACTGTGGACTCCAAATCCTGGGTTTCTACACAAGTATTCCACGTCTCTTACAGGAGATGATGGCCTATTGGCCTACAGTGGTTTCAAGATCTAACACTTTGGACTCTTTGCATTTCTGAGGCTCTCCAGCAGGGGGTAGCATATTACCTGTCGAACTTTAGTTGTATTGACCACTTGGACCCAAGGCAGCCTTGGGCAGCTTCTTTTTGTTAACCCTCCCTGCTTCGGCAGGGTTGATTAGCACGAACCTGTCCAAGCACAGGGTGGCCACCTCCCAGAGCAGGTCCCGGCCCCGCTCTGGCCCCCACTGCCTGGCTCACTGCACACGCACGGATCACAGAACAAGGCAGTACGCTTGCTTTCCCGCTCTAGACTGACACTGTCTCAGTCATCTTTGACGCCTCAGTGCTAGGACAGTGCCAAGTACACAGCAGGCGATCGAAAATGTTCTCTGGATACACGAAGGAGTGCGTGAATGGATGAGTGAAGGTATGCGGGACCCGGGTCAGCTCACTGGGGCACCCGAAAGCAAACACAGAAAACAATTCTGACGGAGTTCCTCAAGCTCCCCAGTTCCCACCACTGATTTTTTTTTTTCAAGTGTCACTTTTGGGGAATCTCATTTGGGCCAAAAGTATATGCCAACTAGTAAGATAGAGATTTTTAAACTTCTTTTAAAAATTAGAATGGTGACGCTAAAGACCTCTAATTTAAGCAAAGGGAAATTTGAAAAGAGGAAAACGGAAACGCTGGGAACAGCCTGCGTGACCCCTCTGCACACCCGCTGCAGCCTGCACTGGTCCTTCACTGTCACAGTATCATCTCCACCTGCCTCTCCGTCTCCACGACAGCCCAGCAGCTCCATCCCAGGAACAGTGCACCACCCCACTCACTCTTTTAGCCCGTGATCAACTGGCCTGGGGCAAAGGGAATCACAAAGATAAATAACTCTTAAACCCAAACATACAAAGAACATTTTGACGGCTGCCAGACTGGGGGGAGGAGAGGATGGGTGAAAAAGTGAAAGGGATTAAAAAGTACAAACTAGCCCTGGCCAGTTTGGCTCAGCGGTTAGAGCGTCGGCCTGAGGTCCGGAGAGACCTGGGTTCAGTTCCCGCTAAGGGCACGTACTTCGGTTGCAGTTTGTCCCCGGCCCTGGTTGGTCGTGCGGGTGGCAGCCTCTCGATGTGTCTCTTCACGTCGATGTTTCTCTCTCTCTCTCTCCCTTCCTCTCTCTCCCTCCCACTCTATCTGTACAAAAAATGGAAAAATATCCTCGGGTGAGGATAAAAAAAAAAAAAGAAATAAAAAGTACAAACTAGCAGTTATAAAAATAGTCATGAGGGTGCAAAGTAGAGCATGGGGAATATAGTCAATAATACTGTGGTAACTGTGTAAGGCATGAGATGGGTACTAGACATATCAGGGTGATCTTTCTAAGAAACATAAAGGTCTAATCACTCTGTTGTACACCTGAAACTATTATAATATTATCTGTCAACTATAATTGAAAAATAGACTTTAAAAATAAATGAAACTTGATAATGCTGTAAGCACACAGGTTGCAATGAATATGCAACTGCTATGATAACCTCAAAGCTTCGATTTGCAGGCCAGGGGTCGGCCTTAGGAATATGAATTTGTAATAAAAACCTTGTTCCAAGATGATAATTTGGGAATCACAACTTGTACCTAACTCTGAGGTCAATTTCTAACATAAAATTCTTTTTCGAGGACATGGTACCTTGGACGATACGCTGTCCGAGAAGACAACCAAGGTTCTAGTCCTGTTTCTATGGCTTGTGACCTATGTGATGTTGAGTAAGACCTTTAACCCCTAAAAAAGTCAGGTCTCTCATCTGCAACAAGGGGCGGGTACAGCCACCTATCTCAGAATCACTGACGGTTTAAATGAGAAAATGCACAACCGTCATAGCAAAGCAAGAGCTAAGAAGTCCTGATTATTTAACTGTTTTCAGGCTAAAGGCGAAATGTTTAGAATAGCCACACCTGAGTGCGTGAACCGTCGCAAAAGCAAAGTGTGTGCTGGGGGGTGATTCGCAGATTTTCACTCTATTTCAAATGACAGTAGTAGAATAAAGGGGGGGAATGGAAGAGAGAAGGTGCACAAGGCCCAGAGACCTCCATCTCTCACAGAGAGGACACTGAGAGGTCACCTTCATGCCCAAGTTCATTACTGCTCCAGGGAATGGGCCACACACAGCCCATGTGGTCCAGCTCGGAGCTGGATGTCTTCGCCAGGCCTCTTGAAAGAGGCCCTGAGGAGTGTCTGCGTAAGCAGGGAATGGTTCCCCCACGGCGAGGTGGTCAGCACCCACGAGGAACATTAACGGCTGAAGCCAAGTACCTGCAGCGGCTTTCTCCACATAATGCAGCTCATTGTAAAATAGGGACACTTGGTGATATTTTTCTTTTACAACATTCGATATATAGTGCAACAGTGTTTGCTTTCGGTCTGTTGACTTTGTATCTAAAAGCTGAAAACAAAAGGGAATAAGGGTTAGAGCAAAAGGTGGCGGGAGAGTGACCGATGAGATCAAGTGCTCCCAGAGTCAATGACAGAGTACAGGTGCCCCAAATGGACAAAAACATTCCCCTGGGAGATTCAAGACTGAATTTGTTCCTTGATGAACCAGTCCATCGATTCTCAAATGACTAGAGGATTTCCTGTCCAGGGGATGTGCTCAATGTTAAGGACGACTCTGACACCTAGAACTGTTCCCACACCTGCACTCATAGGAACCCCACCTCTGCTACACCCCCTCTCCTGCTCCAATCCTAGTGCTCGCCAAGGCAGGCCCAGGGTCGGCGTGTGTGCGGGGCTGGCAGGTGTGCACAGACACTCCCTACACGGCGGGGCCCCTACACCGCTCTCTGCACACTTAGCTCAGCCCTTCTCTTCGTCCCTGGCCTCTCATGACCCAAATCAGGCCTAACAGACAATGACCTTCTGGCGGGCAGAACCGTGACTAAATGGACGCTCCCTCCCAGGCTGGGGACTCCACCTACTGCCCACGTTCTCACAGGGACGTCACATGAGCCTGCACAGCCTGGGGGGAGGATGCCCTGCACAGTTCTCTATTCCTATTTATTAAGTCAGGTGCCTCTGAAAACCAGAGCACCCTTTGCATCCAGGAAAACAACAAAAGCTTTTAGAAAAGCATAAAGAGGGAGTTTAAAAACTATTCCCTAATTGTATCCATCCTCTGTAAATATCTCAACATACGTCTATTCAGTTTTTTCCTACCTACTTCACTTGGCTGAAATGTACCCGTGCATTCCATTTATACCCTTTCTTTTCTCAACACAAAATTATCCATTTCTTTTTGAAAATTCTTCAAACTCTTAACAGTGGAAGACTAGTTCGCTGTATTAACTACTGTTACAGCATATTTTATCACGTCCCCAAATCTTGGCTCTTGACATTGTTGCTAATTATTTACAATGATAAATACAGTATCCAGCATTCAGACTCCTGAGGACAGATTCCTAGAAATGGAAATACGAGGGCAAAGGATATGAGTATTTTTCAGGATCTAAGTGCTTGCTGCCAGATGGTGTTCCAGAACATGTGTACCGACTGGCCCTCACACTGGCAGAGAATCCGCACCGAAAACCCCAGCCCCCTCCCAAGAGCAGACGCCCCCGCCCCGGGACCTACTCTCTGCCGGCTGCTGGCCTCACAGAGCACCAGCATTTCTTTTCGTCCACTCACCAGGTCTAAGCTCTGAAGTTTAAATCCATAAACTGCTCCTCGTTTACTGCTATTCATATAGTTCCCAAGGGCCAAGATGATCTGCAAAAAGAAAAAGAGAAAAAAAGAGAGAGAAGCCCATCAGCACAGCTTCCAGGTGGAGGATGTGTCCCGCCCTCCCACCCGCGCACACAAGGAAACGTCACTTGCCTCCAGAATTTTCTTGAGTTTTTGAGACGACTTTATAGAGACAGACGCTGCTATAATGGAGTGCAGTTGCTAGATTCCAGGCAAAGGAAGAAAAAGGAGGGGGGAAGATGTTAAACATGAAAAACTCTCATTGGAAACTAAAAATTAACAGGAGAAAACAGGCCTGCATTTAGACCTTCACGCCTCGGTGCTAGATTCGTTGTTCCTGAACAAAAATCCAAGTGGCCTGCTAGGTCATAGAATCCACGTCACTACACGCGAGCTCTTTCCTCGGAGTATTTGAAATGAGAGGTAATGTCTGAGTTTGCTTATCACAAAACCTATAACCACGAGACTCAGTCTTCTAGTGAAACCCGGCTCCCTGCCCTCCACCGCCAGGCGTGTAACACAGTTTATACTTTTAAATCAATGGGGCTGCCCAAGAATAAAAACGAAACAGCCCAGGAACAGAATCACCCTCCAGAAGCTCGCAGGACGTGTTCTGAACAGACGTGCTGCTCTAACAAGTTATTAACAGAAGTTTATTTAGAACTAGAACTGGGAAAGAACTTCTCATGATATTTATGTTTATGAGATTCATAAATCTCTAGCAGATTAACACTAACCAACAAGAGGCTGGCTGTTCTTTCTACAGCACCACAGTGCACTGTACCAAACTTCCCAGGAAGAAGACGCCTGTGATAAATTAAGTGCTTCCAATGAAAGCCAGTCCACCTGTTCACAGAGATCCGGGACTGTTCCTCGAAATCAGTCCCATTTCCAGCTGCCTACCCAGCCGCAGAACGGGTATCTTCAGGAGGGGACTAAGATTGGGAAAATGATTTGTCCTTGTCCTCGGATTGGCGTGGACTTCAGAATCCAGACCAGAGGACACGTGTAGACACAGAAGAGGGCATTCCCGAGGGAGAACAGCAATATGGGAAATGGAAAGTCGCCATTTCTGAAGTTACTTGACATACACCATGTGAAAAATGGAATCTAGAAAGTTCCGGGAAGGAGTCTTGAGAGCCCAGGACACTGAGGACAATTCTGTGAGAGACTTAAACAAACACAAAAGATTCTGCATCTCTTTGGACCCCCTCCCCTGCCAGGGCGTGTCCACTCACAGGGGTAAGCATCTGAATGCTTTCGGCGAAGTTCCCGATGAAGGCCATGATGGTCATCTTCTGCACCAGCCTCTCGATCTTACTGAACTGCATCATGAACCGGTCCTCATCCGACAGGTGCTCCAGCGGCTTCCGCTCCCGCTCATAGAGCCGAAGCACTTTCACTTCGTTCTCCGTTGGCAAGAACCTCATCAAACACTCCACAAAGTCCACAGGCAGTGTCTTCAAGTCAAATCTGCAGGCAGAAGCGGACATGTCCGTGTTAGAGAGACACCTACCCTTTCGAGCACACCTCCACCTGGTGCAGCTCACGGGCCACCAAGTCCGTGCTTCACAGCTGGATGGTGGAGACGCCCCTCGGTGCTGGCTCCTGACGGCGCCCCAAGCACCTTCCCTGGTCCTTCCTGCAAACCTGGACTTTATCACAATCACCATACTCGGCGTATAAGCTATTAGCATAGCTCTAGCCTCTAGAAATCGACAATGACAGCAGGAAGAGGCAGAGGAAGGCAGAAGCATCGATGGACGTCACGGATTTTAGGCATGTTAAGTACTGCTAATTAGGAGATTAACATTATACACACGACTACAGAATATCTGGTGAACTCCGTAAAATATTTCAATGACACCAACAGTCCGGTATGTATTTTCTTCTTCAGAAAACAAATGCACCCAAATGCCCGTACCATATGGATATTTTGGCTTAAATGTACACATTCCTGGAAGGAACACCAGGTCTTTGTGGATGTATGCTCTGTCTGAACAAAGTATCTGCTACAACTTCTATTTTATTCTCTGGACAATCCTTTTTCAGCAAAATATATTTAATCATTATGACAAGGCATATAAAAATTAAAATCCAAAGTGCCTATCAGGCTTCAGAAATCAGAACAGACTGTAGGATACACTGGACTATTAGATTATGATCCTGGCTGAGGACATAAAATTGGAACAAATGATTTCTCAGGGCCATTTGCAGCTGTAGGAATCCCAGATCAAAATGTACGAAATGCCAATTTACAATGACTTAGTTTCTAAAACATCTAATAAACAACCTTATCATATTTGAAAGTCATCGTGACCATAAAAAAAGTAGAAAGATTCTTCTAGTACAGAAATAAATACAACCAAGGCCTTCTCTGCTGTTCAAGGATTAAAAAACAGAACAAAAAACAGAACTTTGTTTAAAATGTCCTGAAAGCTCTAAAAGCAACAGCAATCACTTTCCTATTGTTATAAATTAAAATAAGCATCTGGTGCTGAATTGTATCATTCCACAGATGCTACCCAATTTGTATTCGACAAATCTGAATAAAATGCAGATACTCCAGAGAAAACTGCCATTTTCTCCCTTTCTTAGCATCTGCAATACTCCAACCCACCTTCCTTTTATGTAAACTTTGCAGTAGACCCACATGAGAGAGCAGACCAAGATAACAAATGTCACGATCCCATTGCTATTCTTCCAAAACGATTACAATTACTCATTGTAGTAAAGCACTCCTGAGGGTCATTTCTGGTCCACCTCTTTCGAGTTAACATTTTATTAAACGCTACAGTTGCATGTATGTAACAACGGGACTCTCTGGTGTGTGGATAGCAAGAATTGCTCCATCTTTTATCTTAGATCTTGCCTCACTCTTGAAATATGTCTATCATCTACCAATTCATAACTTCCTTGTTTTCATCCTCCATTTACGGAAATCTAGTTTTCCAGAATGCCCTGAACTTACACATGGATAGCTTTACAGATCTCATCGGCGGTCTTCCCAGCTTTCCTTAAAGTTATGGCAAGGTTTTTGGCCCTGTTTGCTTCTAATAACGTCACTTTGTTGGATCCCTTCTGGGTTATCTTCTGTTTGCTTGAAGAAAGATCGATGGCAGGACCTTGGGCTTTCGTCTTAAATATTTCCTCAAATTCATCCACATTTAAATCCTGGGGTAGAGAGGACAAATGGATTATACTTAAAAATTAAGTTAGGAAGCCACCACTTACACAGTTTCTTCAGTGTCAAAGATCTGCCATTGTCTACTCAGTACCTGCTTTGGTCGCGGCCTGCCCCACTTTCCAGCCAATGCGAACGCCTCGCAGTGACTAGCTGCAGGGGTGGCAACCACAGACGAACACTAGCCATCAACCCAGCTGGTGAGTGTGATTATGAATGAAGTCCTCGTTCCTTTGTAATTTAATAAAGCTTTATGCCCTTTATAAGTTAAGGGCAGACATTGTGTCAAATATGTGTAACTATGTGTGTGTGTGTGTGTGTGTGTGTACATATATATGTGTGTGTATATATATGTATATATATGTGTGTGTGTGTATATTTGGCGTACACTAAAGATGCTCAAAACAATTCCATTGTAACATAACTTTTTAAACAGAGTTTTAGAAGCACCTTACAAAATAGTTTCCAGTTTTACTCTAAGGTTATTATCTTTTTTTTCTTTCCAGAAAAGCACTTAAGACACCAGCACTTTGATCCCTGAAACGCCCAGGTCACCAGCACACCCGTGTGGCTTTGCTGCGCAGGGGGCCCCAGGTGTCTAACCAGTAAGAAAGATACCTCCAGAATTCGCTCGTCATCAATCTCATTGAAGACTGTGCCATTGATCTGATTTGGCTTCAGGGCAACCCAGTTAAACACTGGCATTCTGAATTTCGTCTTGATTGGCTTCTTTATTTTCACAGCTACAGAGGTTAGAGAGAATGAAATTAAGATTCCACCAAGACCCCATGACCCTCAAGAATAATCAGACAGCAGTCCTTGCAAATAGCCCGTTAACACTGGAGGAAGGCTGGTGAGAGGCGTCCACGTGTTTTAAAACATCACACAGGGCTCTGGCCAGAGCAATCTGAGGTCATCACTTGGTTGACTGACAAAGCGTTGTGTCCAGGTGATCTCAGAGCCCGGGGCCAATTATTTATTTAATGTGGGCAACTGGTTTGCTGCATTACAGTCTCAACGTTTGAAGACAATGGTTAGGACAAATAAAGTGTTGGGGAGCAAAAATTATTCTTAATGTTATTAGACAGCAGAGAGGGCAAATCCTCTGTGTGACTCAGTGTGATACTGGTGGGCACGGCCCTAATTTTGACATCCTAAATTCTTGGTTCTAGAACATAAACATCTCCAAATGAATCTTAAAAGATGGTCAGAGACTGCAGGTGGTGGCTCTCAGCCCCTCGGAGAAACATCAAGAATGCTGACTTTCAGCCAGAGCAATACATGCCTGTGGATGATTTCGAAAATGGGGTTACATTGGCTGCTGAGTTAGTTCAAACAGACTAAGGGCCATGAATGGCCCAAAATAGAAAATGTTTAAGAAAATCAGAATTTTTGAGAATGACCACAGTCCCTTCCAACTCTTGAGGAACAAGGTCTCCCCAGGGGTCAGCTAGGCATGACCTGAAGGCATAGATGAATTCCCTGAAAATACTGAAAATCTCTTACTGGGGGTGAGGGGGCTCTATCTTTGAGGGGTCAAGGGAGCAGTGCCAAATCCTCTTACTTTGGGGAAATGAACTAAAAAGGGCAATCCAGTAAAAATTCCGTTAATTACACATCATAAAGAAGTCTTCCCAAACCATTTAAAGTTATAATAATAGTCACCTTCTTCAGTGTCCTGGGACACCCACCATGCTATCTGGGAGCTCTGCTATTTGTCATTGTTAGCAAGGGAAGGAGAAGAACTTCAGTGCTGGGCATTGGGGGGTGGGGGGGTGCAACACACACCGGGGCTGGTCCCTGGCCGCCTGCCTCAGTGGGAGGCCACTGCAAAGGGGAGGCAGGCAGCGCCCCTCATTCCTCCAGAGTTACAGATGTCACACAGTAAGCAGCGGGAATGTCACCTGACAGATGGACACAAAGGCATGCAAGGAACACGGAAACACAGCTTTGCCAACCAGGCCTTTCCACTCGCAATGCGACACCTCGGTCCCTACCTCCCTGCGGTGTCGGATCCCTCCCCACACTTCATTTTTGCCTACGCTGCCCAGGGAAACCCATGTCCTCCGAGGGACCCAGGAACAGACCGTCCTCTGGGCTGGGGCTTCAGGGATGTTGAGGGGGAAGGACGGGGGCAGGGAAGGGGCTGTGCAGGGATCTCGTCCGGTCTTGGGTGAGAGGCCAGCGCACGGACACTCGCTCCAGGCCAGCCCATCTGCAGCCGTGATACTTTTTAACTCTCCAGCAGTTAGGAAGGGGCCTGAGATCAGAACACTGGCAACGAGTGCTCTGTGGGCAGGCTGTCCTGACTGCGGGGGCAGGGGTCAGAGGAGGAGCGTGTCGGTGACCATGACACACGGCGTCAGGCTGGGGAAGAGGCTCTGCGTGGGCGTGGGTGTTCCACGGAGACAGCCGGACCGGGGAGGGAGGTGCAGTGGCCGGCAGCACCCAGCAGCTCTCCCTCCTCTGTGGAGCTTGCCTTCCCCCTCAGAACACCTCCCAGATCCTTCTGGAGCTGAGCCTTAGACCCCACTGTGCAAAGTGAACTACAGGGAAAGCACTCCTTTCCTCAGGGAGAAAGGAACGTGGCGTGTGACCCAGGGTGTCTGCTCCAAGGGCCATCGGCACTTCCACGGGCTCAGTGGAAAAGTGTGGGCAAAGCTGGGACGACAGTGCGCCAACACGGACACGCCCGCAGACACAGTCGAATGCGAAGGTCGGCGTGAGGGGGTGGAGATGTCAGGGCACAGAGTGACCACCGAGCACATGGCAAACACTCAGCACACCAGGGAGGAGCAACCTACAGAACAGCTTGATGGGCCCATCTTCGGAGGAAGCAGGAAGAACAAAGAAAACACAAAGCACATTAGAGTTGGTTAGTCGAGCAGCTCCGAGGGGACACTTCGCACGGAACCTCCTGCTTCTAGGACACATTCCACGAGGCAGCACAGCCAAAATCCCATTTCCCTTCGGGCCTTGAAGACTCATTTGTTTTGTTTAAAAAAAAAATAATCCTTTTCACCCTGGCCGGTTTGGCTCAGTGGTTAGAACACTGACCCATGGACCAAAGGGTCATGGGTTCGATTCCCGGTCAAGGACACATACCTGGGATGCAGGTTCCAACCCCGGCAGGGTAGGGGTTGTGCAGGAGACAACCAACCAATATGTCTCTCTCACATTGATGTTTCCCCTCCCTCCCTTCCACTCTATCGAAAAATCAGTGGAAAAATATCCTCGGGTGAGGATTCACAAATAAATAAATCATCCTTTTTAGAAAAGGGAAAACGTGCTTTCATCACAGTGGTGCAAACAGCCATGTTCAGCTGTACTGTGTTCCTGAAGAAATGGCCAGTTTTTAAATGAAAAAGTATCAGCTCGAGTCCACATTCTCATTGTGAAGGCCCAAAGCACACTGTGCAGTGGACCCAAAGCACACTGTGCGGCGGAGACAGCAACGGGGGCAGCCTGCCCGGGGCCGCCGCAGACGACCTCACTGGGAAACCGAGCCAGGTCACTCAAGCACAGATTGGAGGAAGTAAGCCTTACGCTTCAAATGCACATTTCACACCACTAATATTTCCTCTGTGAAATGCAAAGAAAACTTGACTAAATAGACTTAGGGGACCTCCTCCTGGTCCCTGTCTCGGCCACCAAGAACACACTTGTTCATTGCCTGTTGAAGGGTCAGACAACCCTCTGCAGATCCAGGGACCTCGCGATGTCACAGGCTCCTGGCTTCCCAGGAGCCCTTGGCGTATCATCTCAGCTCTGTCTCTGGCTCTGCTGGGACATCCCGATTCTGTCTGGCATCTTGGTTCGAGAGAGAGAACTACTGAACACCCTGGCAAAACATCTCAAACAGGGCTGAACCACTGAGTGTTAATGGCCAAATGAAGGAGCAGTAAAGAAAAGAGATTAAAGGCCTTTCAGAAACTGCCTGGTCTCAAGCTACCAAATACTAGTAAAGTTCCTCTAATCCTTACATCTAGTAAAACAGAACACCCTGTGATGATTTTAAAGGACGCTGACAGCACCACAGAGGAGCTTTTTCAGTCCCACACAGAGTCTCTAACTTGCATAAGGACACAAAGGGACAACTCCCAACGGTACCAGCTCGCAAAAGGGGCAGCGGGGGGCAGCTGACCAGGTCCACACCATAAAACAGGGGGCAACTGGGCCAACACATGTTTTAAATTAAGTAGGCAAGAAAGTTAACCAGAGAGGACGAGACCCATCCAGAAGGGACCTGGCCCCACACATCTCAGCGGGTGGCTTTCGCTGGTGCTGAGCCCCGGTCAGAGCTCAGGTGAGGGCAAGTGGAGGTGGCGCACGCGTCCGGCTCGGCCAGAGAGCAAGGAAGCGGGGAGGAAGGACAGACGCCATCTCAGACACCTCCTGCTGCAGGCGCTCAGGGGCAGCCCGAATCTGTGTGCAGGTGCACATGACAACCACAGGTTTTCCCACTGAAAACAGCCTGTTGATGGGACAGATTCCTGGGGCTGGTTAAGAGGTTTTTTGTTTGTTTACATTCCAAAAGCCAACAGTTCCACGGTGACACGCTTTCAATGTTGGTCTTTCGGAAGCAATCAAAGTTCTAGAAGAAAGCGGTAGATGGGGAAGACCTTGAAGGGTTAAAGTCAGTCTCCGGTCCACTGTGAACATTGCTTTGAACAGGCTCCGTGCTTGGCACCTGCACAGTTTTGTAGAAGGTGGACGTGCGCACCACAGGTCTGCTGGGGTGGCTCTCTGTCCCGACAGACCGGCTGGCAGAGCTGTGACGGGGCACGCTGAGGGATGGAGACTGGGAATCTCTCACAGCCAAGACTTTGGGCAAAAGGCTCCGAGAACTACTGCAGACTTGGAAACGGAGAATATTAGGTTGGTGGCTCTTCGGCAGAAACAGAGACCTCGCCGAGGGACTGAAGTGAGTAAGGAAAGAGAATCACCCGATGTCACCGGGTGGCATGGCAAAGCTGAGTTATTCCCAATGCCAGGAAAGCACGCCATGGCTGGGAAAATGGCTTGTGGCTTGTAGTGTTTCAGAGAAGTGTAAACATTTCATTCCCGTGAGTCAAAAATAAGAACTTATATTTCAAGGCATTAGAGCAATTGGGTTCCTCCCCCCCCCCCCCCCCGTTACTCCTGGCGGGCACGGGCGCTGCACTGTGTCCTGGTGAGCAGGAAGACAACACCCTTGGAAGCCTTTTGAGGCATGCAGATGCTGCTGTTGGCAACATTTCGTCTTGAAGCCTAATTGCAGTACACTGCATGCGGACGCCCTCTGATGCTCAGAAGAAGTGCCTGGAAGCCTACGTCTGGCAATTACATAAAAAGGCACTGTCCCCTCCTTTTTCAGGTGACATTGCAAAGACCTTCGAGATAAAAAGAGCCACGAGCACCAGCGCACGCTGTGTAGAGCTTCGACTACGACAGGTGCCCGGACCAGTCTGCTGAACCTGTGAAAACGCACTGAGCCCCGGGAAGGTGACTTGTCTCGCTCCCTTGTCCGGAAGGTGCTAAGACGGTGTGGGGTCAGAACCTCCTGCTAGGGGGAGAGTGACACATGTACTCACAGAAAAACGCCCCCTGTGCATGACAATTTCCCCTGCACCATAGCAGGGATGTTCTTATATCAAGAGGAGGTACATGTGATGTCAAGAGACTCGGACTTTGAAAGAATGGTTTTAACCCTCCGGAGGAAAAACAAATGAGTATTTCTTACACAAGTGCCCGGTCTTGATCCTATGCTCTTACCTGCTAATCCTGAGTTGAAAACCACTGTGGGTGAAGACGTCCCAGGCAGTGGGGGTGCGGAAGGAGGAAGGGGTGGCGGTAAAGGAGGAGCTGGCACAGTCTCCGCTGCAGGACCAGGTAGAGGTGGGGGAGGGGGAGGAGGGGGAGGGGGTGGAGGAGGGGGCGGCATAGGTGGTGTTACTGGACCATTTTGCACTAACAAAAGAAAAGAAACAAATTGACTTTAAAATGAAAGAATGGTTTTTCCTGCAATAGGTCACGTGCACACAAAGTATCAGAAAACAAACACTGAAGAGGACAAAGGATTTTTTCAGACTATAAAATGTCCTCATTGACTGGTAGGGGCTATCCTGTAACATACATAAAGCGAAGATTTATAGCCTCAATCTCAAAATGTAAAAAGTTTCTAAAATCAATAAGTAAAAGAACATGCCCACAAAAGCAAACCAAGGACATAAATGAGCAGTGGGTTAAAAAAAAAAAAAAGAAATACAAATATCCCAACGCCCCCTCATTCTCTAGCCAAGGCTTCTCACCTGCTTCAAGTGCATCGGACAAGGGAGGTAGTGGTGGGGGAGGAGGGGGCAGGGGTCCTGAGGAGGCGGCCCCCGTTCCTGGTGCCACAAAGCTTCCCGCTGCCACCTCGGAGCCCCCAGACAATGAGCCAGATGCCACAACAGGCAGAATGGCGATGTCCCCGTCCCCTTTCTTCTGAATTTTAATGGTCCCTTGTTTCTCCAGTTCATGAATCTTTTTTTCCAGGGTAGACTGTCTTTGAATGGCTTCTTCTTTTTCTTTGACCATTTTCCTTAACGTGTGAACCTGGGTATTTGCATCTTTGTAGATTTCCTGCAAAAGAGTCCATGGTCAAGAATTTGTCTTTGTGGGACATGCTTGCCTCGATCACCATCAGATTCACAAACTGAGGACAAAGAAAATAACCAAAAGAGAAAATAGAAAAAGGATACTCATATAGAGGAATTCTATGGAACTCAGACTTAGCCTATAAAGCCCCACTCATTCTCATCTGCTCACTGGTAATGCATACAATATATGTTTGCAATTCTTATTGTTAATGTGGTTCTTTCCATTAATAAAGGCAGCTAACTCAATTTGCCCTGCAGGTGGAGAGAAACAGAGCAGAGAGGACCCAGAAATAATTTTACAGCCTGACTCTGGGATGGCCTAAAGGTGTTTTGACCACGCGGTGTGTTTTCCTTTCACTTATTTTCAAATTCATTTTAACTCCTGGAGACGTATCCGCTAACAGTAGACAAAGGGGCCCCACATCAGACTTGGAGAGAAGTCAGAGTAGGATTAAAAATCTGCAAAGCATGGCATAATCTCCCGATGAGTAACCGGGGCGGACTGTTCCTGACCGGCTCTGTCTGGCCTTCACAATGCCCCCTTGACCAAGCTCAGGACAGCAACCGCTGCAACATTCTCCCTTCGGTAATGCAGTCAACAGAACAGGTCAATGCTTCTCTCCACTAATTACTTATTTCGTCTAGGTTTTTAGCAGAAAACAAAGAAGTTACAATTTCAATGCAAAGGCTGTCCCAGTTCCTTTTATAAGGGGCCCACAGAGGACCCAGTGAGAGGGTTTTATGGAGCTTACTTGCTGGGCCTTGTACACGGGACCTCTCACCACAAACCTCCAGCAGGCAGGGAAACATTCTTCACACCCTGTCTATTATTAATAATCTGAGCGTCTGAACTTGAATTGAGTCCATATGCTACAACTCTGTCTCGATGGCGTGCCAGAGAATAAATTTCCTAGAGTTAACTGTAGGACGCGTCAGAATATCAAGCAACACACACAGACATGATAACCGTTGCATAAAATGTGCCCTTTCATTACCGGGGTGTGAAGGCAAAGCCATTTGCCCGCAAGCCCTCCAGGCCCTTTAGTGGTTTTATGTTCTCGACAATTCTAGACCCACGGATGGGGCTCCATGAATACCTGACACAAGGTGAAACAATGCGAACGCCAAATAAATAGCTGCGATTATCTGATCATCAAAATGGATTGGTTTTGCTTCGCCTGTTTTCTTTTTTGGTGAATGCCATTGGGTCTCGCCTGGGTTGTGATTTCACCATTCCCATGGCAACCACCAAATCTGGTTTCAAGTAGAAGCAAAGCAAAGTAACAAAGAAATCCAAGTCCTGTTAAAAATAAATAAGTGGCATGAATTAAATCCATGCTGTGTTTTTATTTCCAACCAAATGAGTGATCCACATAATCATCTCCGACTTGTCCAGATGGGAAAACATTGCTGCTCCCAAAGCCTGTGATAAGAACGTACTGAACCTCGAGCATCTGATTGCACACACATGTGCACAGAGGCCATACTGTGCACTTTGCTCTGGAATATCACTCTGAAAAGTTCCAATAAAGACGCCGCATCAAGGCATCCCTCTGACGGGCAAGCTCGGCTAGGCCACAGCGGGGTGAGCTCCCCGCGCTGCCCATCCGGGCCACTGCCCTCGTCACACTCACTCGAACCACGTCCAGCTCCTTGTTCCTCTGCATGAGCTGCTTCTCCAGCTCCACGATCTTGGACATGGCTTCATTCTCCGTGTCTTGCAGTTTTTCAGACAACTGTAAAGGTTTCAAAGGGAAGCTGTGTCACAACACAGGACCACTGCGCTCAGCTCCTCGGTTCTCGGCAAGTGTAGCTCAATGACCAGAAGGGGCCTGTCAGAGTCCGTGTGTGTCCCACCAGCTGTTTTCTGGAAATGTTAGTATTTATGATATGGCTCTGAAAACAGTTGTTTTTCAAAGGAATTAATTTACATGTCGCCCTTAATAAAACCCATGTCAGTTCCTTAGTGTTCCCACAAATACAGTGTCTGTCTGTGTCTGCAGGGACCGGAGAACAACAGGTGAGGGAGGAGGGAAGTCCACCTTCTTCCCTAAGAAGGGCCATTAGGCAAAAGTTTTGGAACACTCTGGATTCAGAAAACTTGGATCTGTTATTCTAGGGAGCCAGCTGAAAAAAATAGTATTGCTTATTTTGACCCAAACTACCCAAATAATAAAAGTTATTTTGGAGGGGCAGCTCAAACAGGTGGCCTGCTCTAAAAGTGGGGTACCGAAGTTCGGTCACGCCACGCTGGCTGCGGTTTCAAGAGTTGGACAGGCTGAGCCCTGTGCCACATGGTTACTGCCCGCGTACAGCTGCGGAGCAGAGCAGCTCCTAGAACTGGCAAGGAAATCAGGGAGGCAGGGTGCGTGGCAGAGCAGAGATGTATATCAGATTCAGACTATGACACAAATCCTCTTAAGGGAAGAAACACTCAGCCTGTAAGTGCCCTTCCTAAGCAGGTGTCAGCCACGTGTGGCCCTCGCTGGAGCACGTCGAAGGGCGGAGTTCTGGCAACTTGGCTTAACCACAGCCATGAAGATGCCCATGTGCAGTGATGGGAAAAGGTAAAGGACATTAAACACGTGTAATACTAGTAACTATGGAAATGTGGAGGAAAATGAGTGTTCAAAGGGGGGAAGGATATCCCTCCAAAAAGTCGATTTGTTTTGCAATCAAGGATATCGTCAGTCAGGATCCATGAGAAGATTCTGGTCCTCACGATGCTTGGGTTTTTAAGCAGCCCCGTTTCCTGTTCCTTCTTGCAATATTACAATATCAGCTGAATGGATGAACAAATGAATAACCTCTAAAGACCTTTGGGTTCCCATCCAACTGGGTCTGTGGTAAGAAGAACCCCTCAAAGGAAAACAAATTCCCACCCGGATACAGAGCTAACATTATACTGAGAGGACATTCTGCTTGGAGGAGGAGGAACTGTGGGAAAGCTCACTGACTTCCTAGAAAATGCTCTAGAACCCGTTGAAATGAATCTATGTAGAACCCGAGTAGCCATAAGGCAGGGATGCGAAGACACGCATCAGGAAGCCACGAGACCCCGGGCCCCTGGCTTGTGTGGCACATTCCACAGAAGATGACTCATATTTAGCAGAAAACACGTATTCCTATTGGGCCACATTCACATATTTGGGCTGCACTTCCCGCCAGGTAATGCCAACCATCTAACTTTCCTGTGCAGGGAACAAAGATGGCCAGGGAATCTGGACTCGGCAGAAACTGAGAAGATGCACGAAGACAAGGCAACGGATTCCACTTAGTTTGAAGTAACACACCTGCCTTCTTTCAAAGAACCCCGAGTGCCCACCAGTGTGGCTCAGTGGTTGAGCATAGATCCACGCACCAAGAGGTCACAGGTTCAATTCCCAGTCAGGGCACATGCCCAAGTTGTGGGCCTGATCCCCAGTAGGGGGCAGCAGGAGGTGGCCAATCAATGTTCTCTCTCATCGATGTTTCTGTCTCTCTCTCTCTCTCACTTCCTCTCTCTCTAAAATCAATAAAGAACAAAAAATGAAAAGAACCCCGAGCGGCCTGGCAGCTCCCCATCTCAAGCTGAGCTTATCCCGACGCTCCCCAGCCCGCCATCTGCTGCCCCCAGAGCGGAGCCTCTGCTCTGCACCCGCGGACCCTCGGACATGGTTTCCTTTTCTGAGAAGTACTTACATGAGAGAGGTTTTCTTCCAGCTCTTCCACCCTCTCCAAGGCGGCATTCTTGGTCTCAGCATCTTCCAGCAGCGCTCCCACGTCAAACACGTTGTCCAGGTACGCCTGGATCTGCACCTGCAGCTTGTCGCTCTCGGTGTGTTTCAGTTTCTAAAGAGCAAAACGCGAGAGGAGGCGGCGTGAGCGTGTCTGTGAAAACAGAACATACGTCCCTAACAGCCTACCTATTTTTGTTTGCTGCAACCAACCTAGCCTGTTCCAAGAGAGAGTCTGATATATCATCCTCCTTAAGAGAATTATGGAGTAACCATCTAAGAAAGTACTGTGAGCCCTGGCCGGTTTGGTTCAGTGGTTAGAGCATCGGCCTGCGGTCCTGAGAGACCCGGGTTCGGTTCCCGCTAAGGGCGCGGACCTCGGTTGCAGTTTGTCCCCGGCCCTGGTCAGTTGTGCGGGTGGCAGCCACTCGATGTGTCCCTTTCACATCGATGTTTCTCTCTCTCTCTCTGTTCCTCTCTCTCCCTCCCACTCTACCTGAACAAAAAATGGAAAATGTCCTCTGGTGAGGATAAAAAGAAAGTACTGTGAGATTACTTTCTGGTGAATACCCTCTCCCAAATATACACACATTTCCTCCCTAAACCTGATACAGGTGAAATCGGGAAAACAGAAAAACTAAAAGCACCTTTGAAAGGGAACAATAGTCACGGGTAACAGAAAACCTGAGGGGTATCTGTGTGGGAGAAGAGACTGGAGTGGGTGGTCACTTGCCTGGGTGGTGATGGTGGTCCTAATGGTGGGGGAGGCACTGATAGAATAAATTAGTCTTGGGGCTTATTGTTAGAACCCACCTTCCATGATTACTTCCCCAAGACTCTGCCCCAACACGAGGAGCTCAGGGTTCCCCAAAGGAAGCTCTCCCCCTTTCTCTGCATTCCAGGGCCAGCATCCCAAAGGAAGTCGACTAACTCTTAGGTGAAATCAGAGGTCAAGCAAACCTTCCTTCGAAGTAATGTCAGTCATGGCTTTCTCTGGGGAGCAGATGAGGAGCTACAATAGCACCTGGCACCTGGATGATGCCCATAAACATTCATGGAACAAATCAATGCTTTCTTAATAAGGCTGGGTTTTGTGAATGAAGCATTTATATATTATAGGCCTAAAATATTAGTCGTCTAATCACTTCTGTTTAGCAGGGTACAGAACCAACAGACCTGGAAGTTGAAGAAAAAGAGCATTCTGAACAAGTGTTCAATTTTTCAGAGGAACCCTGCTCTACCTAAGTCCTCAGGAAAACGAACTCTGTCCCGCTCAGATCTGCCACCTTACCCAAGCTGGTTCTGAAGACAGTACAATCCATTTTAGTTTGGGAGGCAGAATCGAACAAGGTTTCTGAATAAGGCTGTCGTCTAGAAAAAGAAAATGGAGCCCTGGCCGGTTTGGCTCAGCAGTTAGAGTGTCACCCGTGGGCCGGAGAGTCCCGGGTTCGGCTTCTGCTAAGGGCACGTACCTCCGTTGCAGTTTGTCCCCTGCGTGTGGGTGGCAACCACTCCATGTGTCTCTCTCACGTCAATGTTTCTCCCTCTCTCTTTCGCTCTTCCTCCCTCTCTCCCTCCTGCTCTATCTGAAGGTAAATGTAAAACAAAAAGAAAATGGAGAAGTTGGGCGGATTTTTCACAGGACTCACCATGACTGCCAGTGCTAACAGGTCACGACCTGCCCTTGTGACCTGGGGCCTGAGGCGGGCCCTGCCGGCCATCACCAGGCTGACCCGAGCACCACGGCCGCACATCCTGTGCAGATGCTGCTATCCTCAGAGCACGTGGGGAGGAGGACAGACAAACCTCCATCTCAAAGCAGAAAAGTACCTTTCACTACAATATCCCGTTAACGATATAAGTGGGTTTTTTAATGGGGAAACAAGTCCATCAGCTCTTCGATGGAAAGCGATCATGCCTCCCCCCGAGTCGTCTTTAGACAACATTAGGCCAGTCCATGCGAGAGCAGCCCCGCTGGTCTGCTGAGCCAGGCTGTGAGTCCCAATTCTGGGATGCCACCTTGCAATAAACGGAGGGTACAGAAGTGCAAGTCCCTGGCTTCACCCCAAGGATGGCGGGCTGCCGAACTTGAGATGTCCAAGAGAAGGACTTCTACCTTCTTCATAAGTTGAAACAGCCTTGAACTTGAGGTCGACAATTCCTGCCCTATCACTAGTGATCTTCCAAGTTCAAATGAACTGCCAAAGGGTCAAGGAAACGGGTACACACATCCTGTGCACACAGAGCTACTCAAGTCCACTGACAATTTTCACATCCACTTTCTGTTTCTAAGCTGAGCTGAGCACTTCTGCACGGGAGCCGGAGAAACAGAAACTTTGGACTCCCTTGTCCCAAGAACGAAAAGTAGAACTTCTCAGGCCACAAACACTTTAAGCAGAATTGAACAACTACACAAGGAAGTCTCTGGTGTTGATTTCCTCATTATAGTTTTGTGCTCTAAGCAATTATTCATCACTCTCCAGCAGTCTCGGTTTGGCTTTCCCTGCCCATCAGGTTCCCCAGAGTAACCGAGAACGTAAAGCGCCCCACAGCCTGAACGAAGGGTGCAGCGAGACTCGGCCCAGACAGGGCTCAAAAGCGGAGGAAAGCGGCAGCGGGCTGACAGCGTGTCTGACTCTGGCACTCAGAGACTGCTGGCAGGAGACCGTCTGAGGTCCCAGGAGGTCTGCAAGAACCCCGTTTGTCTGGCAGACGGCATCACTCGGGTTGGCTCCTTTTAACCAGCAGTACAGTAAGTGGTTGGCACAGAGCGTCGAGTGTGTTTTTGTCACTAGGGAAGTGTATCTTCGAGGGTAGGCAATGAGCCAAAGCTTTCAACCATATACTTACATCCAAGTATTCATCCAGGCCTAACTTGGTAAATTCATACTGGAGGTGAACTCTGAAATTCATATCTTCTACTGAATGGACTACAATATTAATAAACTGCATGGAGGCCACCTGAAATGAAATTGCCAACAGGTTAGATGGACTCCAAACTTGCTTTCTCAGTTTAATCATAACATACGCTTTCAACTGCACAAATCTAAGTTCACTCACCAATTTCCTTTCCCTTCATTCATTTCATTAGGTCTCTAAAAATATTTTATATTTTTTTAATTCAAAAGTCATATAGATACCATAATTAGATATCATGTCACATCTACTAGGATGGCTATAATAATAATAATAAAAAAGATAACAAGTGTTGACAAGGATGTGGAAAAGTTAAAAATCATCTGTTGTCAGTAGGGTGCAAACTAGGGCCACTGTGAAGTTTGCCTGTTCCTCAAAGTGTTAAATACAGAAATACCATCTGACCCAGCAACCCCATTCTTAGGTATACATACCCAAGAGAAATGGAAATACCCATCCATATAAAAACCTATATACAAAGGCTCACAGTAACCCTAGTTTGGTTATTCATAGTAACTAAAATGGGGGGGGGGGGTGTCCATCAACTGATGGATTACAAAAATGTGATCCAGCCACATGATGGAACATGACACAACAATACAAAGGAATGAAGGGCTGATACGTGCTACAACATGGATGACCTTGAAAACGTTGTAAGTGAAAAAAGTCACAAAAGATGACATATATAATTCCATTCATATGAAGTGTCTAGAATAGGCAAATCTACAAAGACAAAAAGTAGGTTGCCTAGGGCTGAACGTGGGAAAAGTGGGGAGCAACTGCTAATGGGGGAGGACTCTTGGGGGAGCAACATTTTCTAAATTAGACTGTAATGATTGCACAGCCCTACAAATACACCAGAAATATGTTGACTTGTACAGTTTAGATGGGTAAATTGGAGAGTATATTAACAGTATCTCAATAAAGCCGTTTTTAAAAAGTCTTACAGGTATACAGAATAAACTATGTAAGTTATTACAGATATACTATATAAAATGTAGAAATTATTACAAAGAAAAACATTCAAATTTACTATCACAGGTGACTTGATTATAATTCACCTGTGACCCCACAGACCAACAGGGTCACTGAAGGGTCTCTGACCCATCTTTCCATTTTAAACAATCAACCGGTTTCCATTCCACAGAAGCCTTGGGTTTATTGCTTTCTACCCCCAACTGCATCAGGGGCCCTGAGACTGGTCACAGAGAAAAACCAGTCCCCAGTTTGGTCAAGATAGCACAGAATTCAACCGATCTATTTTGCTCTTCATAGTGACGGTTTATTTACGGTGGAAATATCTCACTAACGCCTTCCCTCTCTAGTTAAACAGAGCCTCCTGCAAGGAGGTAAAATGACCGTGGGACCCAGATTCACCTGTACTCTGAAAACCCCTCACTCCTCCTCTCTCCCCAAACCCCAGGTCCTTTCCCTTTTCCAAACTGTTTTCATCGTGTTAGACTCTTCTCTGCGCATGTTACACACTGGATATCCTCAGATGTGTGCACTCTGGGTGACAAGGAGAGGCTATTGGCAGTTATGCTATGCTATGGTTAAATGAGCTAAAAAGGATTTGGTCGGTTTTTTGTTTTCTTTTGTCCACCAAAAAAGTACATAAAAAGGTTTTGTGCTACGGTAGAAGAACTTATATTTTATAAGGAATAAGTCATTAGGGATGTTATGCAACTTTAATTGCAGTGTATGAAAGCCTCGTTTTCTGGATGAATAACGTGGTTGCGTTCTGGCATCTCTCCAGTTCTCTTCTGAAAGCAGGTCTAACGACCTGCGGGGCTGTACGACATGCCTGAGAGGCAGCCACTTGCCAGGTGCCACACGAATCGAGCACACAGTACCTGTACGCCAGCAGCCTCCAAATAAGGCTCCTCAATGTGTGTACATGTGACTAAATGTGCTCATAGGAAATTGGCTCGTTTGTCAACAGTGCACGTGTTTAAAAGGGCTTATAACTTTTGCAGAAACGCAAATGGCAGAGAGATCCCGCACACACGGTCAAGAGTGAGGTGGGCCGTGCGTACAGCGAGGGGTGCCGACTGCGATGAACCGGGACGTGCACCTTCGGACACAAGGAGTAGGGGCTCCTCGGCTCCAGCAGCTGATACTGTGCAAGAATGGGGGCCTGGCTTACAAAAATCAGAAATCTGTCTTTTTGTGCACAATTTCCAAATTCTTTTATGGAAGGATGTCACGGGCAGACTAACTCGCAAGCCTGAAGGTGGGGACAGCCTAGAACTTCCTATATAACCCCAGCTTACTAGTAAGGGGGTGAGCCAGGGCTTAACTTCTTCACGTCTCATCACCAGTGCAGACAGCTATAAATACTCCAGAAATAAAAATAAAAATATCCTAATAACAAGAATGAAAAAGTCAATGTAAAGTATTCCTGGTTTCGCATTCATTTTTTTTTTTTACCTTTTTAAAAAGCATACATACGCTTTATGGAAAAGAAAATCTCCATAAATGACTTCATCTTTCTCATTGATTATGGAAGCGGCTGGGGGCCACGATGAATATTACATTGGAGGACCCAGAAAAAAATTTCTACATCTAAGGGTTAGAAATCTGCAAAGCTAAGTTTCATATTGTGCAGTCACTGAAGCAATTCAGATGAAAACCCTGCCTGGCACCCTAAGCAGAGGTTTTAGGAGACTCGACAGTGTAAAACCTGATTGGGAGGCCTGCTCTGGGCTAGAGGTGATCTGGGAGACTAAGCCCAGGTAAGGATCTCCTGGATTAGGTCAAAGAAAGTCTGTCAACCTGGTGCACTCAAGGGATTCCCTAGAGTGGATTCCATCCTCAGTCCAGGATTGCGCCTTAGGCATATGAATTCAGAAGTGCTCAGACTCCTTTTGCTGTTCATTCTGGAAAGCCGTTGCATGTGATTTACCCTCTAAGGGGATCCACAGTGTAACTCAATTACACTGTGGAAAGAGATGAAGAAGGGTGAAAAGTCACTGCTGTATATTTGGGGGCTACATATAGTCAAGTCCACAAACAGAAGCACATTCGTCTTGGCGATTATTGTCTGGGGAAGGCCACTGGGTGGGGTGTGCAAAAGGCAAAATGGCCCAGGTTTCTGCTTCCTTCCCTGAGGATCCGTGCACAGCGCCACTGGCTGTCAGGTTGGCGACTGCGGGCGTGTGCACCGTGTGTTACCTTCCTTTCCCCAAGCGCATGGCTTCACACTTCATCTGCTGTAAATAATCAGTACTTTTGGCCGGTACTATAGCATGTATAGAAGGAATAAAACTGGGAATAAATGCCATAAAGAAAAAAATACAGATTAAGAGGGACAACCCAGACTGGATCTGTAGCACATTATGCTCAATTTCCTGTCCATTGTAAAATATTCATACATATGTATGTATAATATATATAAATATCAATGGATTTAGGGAAAAGTGCTCAAATTAAGTTTGTTTTATTGAATGTCATACTAAAATAGCTCACCATAAAATCGATGTTATTGTCTTCATTCCTGAAATGTTCCATTAACTTCTCAAAGCGCTGTTTTTCTCCACAAACCTGAAACACACATTTTCATCGTGCATGTGAAATTCCAAACATAAGCATTCCAAAATTAGATGCAGAAATTTCAGCATTAACAATCATTTCCAGAATATCTATTTTTTCCTCTCTCACACATTACTTACTTTTCTTCCAAGCTAGTTAACTCACAAATAGCAACATGAGCCAGGACCCAAGCTGACCCTTAGTTTCCCTTGCACGTTCTCTTGATATTTTGAAATCCATATCAAATGTCCACCAACTTTCTTAACCTGCATTCAGAATCCCAGAATGTTGCTTATGGCAATTAAAAAAAAAAAAAAAATCTCCCGAGTTCTCCTTTTTACAGAAGTACTTTTTAACCAGACATGCTAAGAGATCTTAACAATTTTGTATTTAAATTCCTTGAAAAGCAGATTCAAAATTCTGATATGCTTTCTAAGCTAATTAAGTAATTTTAGTGCATAAACTACAACATAAACTTTGGGAAGCTACATGGACTCTGCGGTCAGAGGCCAGAAACATGTGCATTCAGCTCGAATTAATGCTTTCACTGAACAGATGAAATAAGACATAAAATTCTGTGGACTCCAGGGCCCCACGGTATCTGCATATACATGGAATTAAGTACACCGAATGAAAAACACAAATTCAAAGAAAGATTTGTACCAAATAATGACTCTCTGGAGACTTAGTCCACAAATCAAAGGATAAACTTTAATTCTGTCTGTGTCCTTGGCGACCTGTAATGAAGCAAAGTCTTACACCCACTGGTTTATTCATTCCACCTTCAGAAAATACTCACCTGACCATCTACAGGCTACATGTTCTATTAGTAAGACATAATCTCTGGCCTGAACATTTTATAAATTGAGTCCAGGTTTCACACGCCTAACTAAATTTGCTGATTCATCTGTGATCTTAGTGATATTCAGGCCAATCCTAACAAATTCTCCTAAATTGGTGTTTCAGAATGCTATAATGCAGCCATTCAATTCCATTACATTAAATTCCTTGCGAATATATATACGAAGAGAAAGTCCCTTGAGGGCAGAGATTTTGTCTGTTTTGTTCACGACTCTATCCTCAGCATCTAGAACAATGCTTAGCACATTGTGAGGTCCCAATAATATTTGCTGACTTACACTGAATAGAGAATAAACACATAACCATGTTAAAATACAATTAGCGAAAAACTTACTACTCTCCATCATGTTTCAGAGTAAGACAAGAACCACTGTGGTTGGGCACCAGCAGGACTGAACTGAGCATGCTCACGGGGACAGCCTGCGACCTCGAGGGCCGTCTAGTCTTAAAGCAACGCAATTTCCTCAACAGACTCAGACCACAGTTCACTGTGTTCGGATGGCAATTCTCCGTTTATGTACACCTGCCTTAACAAAGAACAATTACGGAAGACAGAACAGCGCCCGGGCCCAGTCTGCAGGAAGGGGAGGAAGCTACAGAGCATTTCAGAACACATGTGTCCGGTCCCATCCTCGACGGCCTGAATCGGCGGCCCGGGTGGAGTGGGGGTGTGTGTGACATGGGCACGAACAATTATTTTTCTTTTTTTAATTTATCTTTATTGTTGAAAGTATTGCAGATGTCCCCCGCTTTTTCCTCATTGACCCTGCTCCCCACCCCCCTGCATTCACCACACTACTGTCTGTGTCCACTGGTTAAGACATGAACAATGTTAAAGGCACTATAGACCACCTGATGCTCTGCAAAGGCTGAGAACCAGGGATGGAAAAGGATCCCGCATTCTGTCTCTGGACCCGCTAGAGAACAGACAGAAAGTTTCTGGAAACAAAAGGTTTGTCGAAGCGGGTGAGACAAAGCAAGGGCAGCTCCCTGGACTATGACTTCAGTCACATCTTGTGCAAAGAGTCGCAGGGTCCCTCCCTGCAACAAGGGCCCAGCGGGTGAAAACTGCCAAGGAAAAGGTCAGGCTTACCACCTGAATTTTTAAAAAATACATTTTTATTTATTTTTAGGGAAGAAGAGAGGCGGGGGGAGAGAGAGAGAGAGAGACATCAATCGGCTGCCTCCCACACTCGCCGGGACCAGGGATCGAACCTGCAACCTGGGTATGTGCCCTGACCAGGAATGGAACCAGCAGCCATTCAGTGCACAGGACGACACGCAGCCCACTGAGCCACACTGGCCAGGACAACCTGACTTTTCTTTGAGAGAAACCTCAGCATCAGAACTTGCTCCGCAGGAGATGCTTGGGAGAGCGGCAGTGGCAGAGGAAAGGCCTCGGTCTGGGGACAGCTGCCTGCTCCCCTGAGAAACAGGGTGTGTTAACGTTTGTCTGAGTGGCCAGGCGCCCACCGGACCAGACAGGCAATGGCCATCAATAAACAGTAACCATGACCACAATTCCTCAATTAAAAGGCAAAGCCCTTCAAGAATGTCAGAAATCGGGAAAGTACCTTGGATTGGTAAGCTGGTATCCTCAATGTATGAGTGAGACTGACACCCAGACACGTCAACTATCTCCAACTTGGTGAAAGTTCACAGAGGCTAGAACCAGAACCCCGCCTGCAAGCCTGACCTCCTTCTCCCATACAGCCCAGGATGCTCAGATGACGATATTCCAGGTAAGACAAGAGTTAAAGCATTCCAGAATTATTTGAGATGCCAGAGATGAAAAATGTAATTATTAAAAACTGCGGTCATTACACCATGCATGCAGTTTATGTCCATGCACCAGAATCTTCCATGGCACTTCTAAAATCAGCAGATTCCTGGGGTCTAAATCAAAACGTGAATGAGAATCTCCACAGACAGAAGTAGGAATTTGTGCTTTAAAAAAGTACTCATGGTCCCTGGCTGGTGCGGCTCAGTTGGTTGAGCATCGTTTTGTGCACTGAGAGGTCACTGGTTCGATTCCCGATCAGGGCACATGTCTGGGTTGTGGGCTTCATCCCCAGTAGAGGGCGTTGCAGGGGGCAACTGATCAGTGTTTCTCATTGATGTTTTTCTCTCTCCTGCTCCCTTCCTCTCTAAAATCAATAAAAACATATTTTTAAAGAAAGTTTATTTAAAAAAAAAAAGTACTCATGGTGTTTGGACCAGCATTTGGGAAACAGTGGCATATGCAATGTTAGACTAGTCCAGCAATTTTCAACTAGTGCGCTGCAAGAACTTCTCAAACACGCAAGACCTAACTGTCTAGTCAGAGGCACTAATCTCTTTTCCCTTAGATCTTCAAATTTAAAAATGACAACAACTAACACAACAATAGCCATCCAGTGTGAATTAATCAAAATTATACTTTTTTTTTTTGCCAGGTCGGTAAAAAATATAATGTTTTTTGGTGTGCTGTCAAATGTTAGTAATTAATTTATGTGTGCAATGAGACGAAAAAGGTTGAAAAGATGAAAAAGGTTGAAAATCACTGGACTAGCCAATTAAACCCTCGGCCTTTCGGACTACCAATCGTAAACTGGAGAGCTGGATCATTAACTCTCCGATTCACTGAACCTAGAATTTAACAACACGAATAAAGAAACACAGTTACTGTAACTGGCTATCATGGGAAAGTAGCAGGCGTTGGCCCACCGACACTGTGCAGCGAGTGATTGAGGTCATTCTCAAACCATCAGGAATTGTGCCCAGAATTTTATATGGCTGAGGAAAGCACATGTGGGTGCAAAGAGACTGTCAAATCCAGAACAAGCAATATTAGATTAATTCCGTGCTGGGTAAAGATCCCCCAAATCATTGCACTAGTGTGGTAGGCAGGACTGAAATAGACATTATGAAGAGCTTTGAAAACACACACACACACACTTCTTTAGAAATCATTCTGTGAGACGAATCCATGCTGAGAAAATGTGTTATGAAACTGAAATACCTTTAATCTTCACATAAAAAAAATAGACATAAATATCTTCCCATCTGTAGCTGCTGTGACCTCGGTGTAAAGAACCCAAATGCACAAAACAACACTGTGCCAGCGCAGACGCCAGCTTCGGGAGACCGTGAAGGAGGATCCCACTGGCCACTCTCCTCATTGGCGGCAAGAACCAGAAGGGCACCTCCTTCAGCTCCATCAAGCCCTTCCCGTCAAGGTTCAGACAGATGCCCACTGCGCTGGGCCAGTCTCCACTAGTGGACTCGGGTGTTTCTGACGGTTCCAGAGAAACCACATGGGCTCCAGAGGCCCCCCGCACCCCTGCGGAAGGGAGGGAAGCGTGCACACCAGACTCACATTTGTTTCTATACGACTCGAGTGATCCTTCAACAAGTGTACACTACCGCCCCACAGGAAACGGGAAGGCATGTTTGGGGAGGGCTGGGAGAAGTCATGTCCACATCAAAGGGAAGTCGCTGTGGCTCACAGGGCTCACATCTGGACCACCCCACACTCTCGGTTCAAACAGGACCAGCACGACCGAACGTGCTGCTTCCCTCCTTTGAAACGAGCCTCGCTCTAGAAAGCTGGTGAGGATGAAAGGAGTGAGACCACTGATTCTCAGCTATTTTTAGCATCTGCACACTGGGGATGTGAGCTTTCATGAAAACGGACGTCAGGGCCGGAGCATCTCTACACATACGTTTTAGTGCGTGTCATGTTGTGAGGCACTTAAGTTCCACCCACCAACAAAGCCAGACAATAAATGGTCTAAAAACTTTCAAGTGAAAAACAAAGTTGTACAATGGCAACTGAAATCTGTCATCTCTTGACTTTTATATTCAGGGTGCTTCCCAAACCCCAGCAGCTTTGACACTGATTTCCTGTATCAATGCCAAGGAGCCACGGGAGGGGCAGGCAGTGACGTAAGCGGCGCGGCCACAGGAAGGCTGAGCGCAGCCGACTGAAGAGCACCTGTCGCGTCCTGGGCCACGCCGTCAGCTATCCGACTGCCACTGCAGCACCCAGGGCCACCAGAGAGTAAGTCAGCCAGCAGAGAGGTAAAGGTATATGCCCCGGAAAAGCAGGTACTCTGCTGTAAAAACATGTTTACGACTATGAACGCCAGAGGCATCTTCACTTCAAGCAT